TCTTTAACTCTGTTCTAGCTCAGATTCTGAAGGCATCGGGACGAGCCCAGAGCGGGGTGAGCGTGGCCGGGGCAGGGCTGGGATGATGAATGGTTCTCCATCACCCCCTGTCCCCTCCCAGGCCGGCACTCACTGGAATCTTATTTAGGCTGCCATTTATCTTTCTTTGGGCCAGTCAATAAAGATGAACACAACAGTTGTAAGGATCGATTGCAATTTTTTCTCATTTTCAAGCATGAAGGAGCATTTCTGACATAAAAACAATATTCAGGGTGTACTTGTTCTGCTTTTTAATTGCAGTTCAAGTGATCAACTGAGCTGCTCTCTATGCCCAGAAGTTTTAATCCTACAAGCTATCAAGAAATCATTTGTTATCTTAGCTGAAGTGTGCTGTTTGTTGGCTCAGGTCTGCTATTGAAACTCACTCAGATTCCCTTTTAGAGATAAACTCTCCATAACCCAGAGATGAAGTTTCGTTTTTCCCTAATCCTCCAGATAAACGTGCAGTGGTCATTTCCCTAAACACAGATTAAAAATGGGGCTGTAGCATCATTTCCTCATCTCCAGATAAAGGCAGACACTTATTATTGGTTTATTATTAAACCAATCTGTGATTCCACAAAACAAAGGAGCAACCTGGAGAATGGAAATTCACTTCCCACCTTTCCAAGCTGGTCCAAGGCCAGCTTGGAGCAGCCTGGGACAGTGGGAGGTGTCCCTACCATGGCAATGGTGGCACTGGATGAGTTTAAAGTCCCCTTCAAACCCAAACCCAGCGATTTTGGGCCAAAAATAATGAAAATATTGTAGTAAAAATGAGTAACAAGTGGTGCCTTTCCCCTCAAAGCGAACTGAAAGAAACAGAGGCTGAATAAGAAGTTAAAGAGAATTTCAATTTCACTTTTAAATCCATCCAATTTGCCCTGATACAAACACAGAGCCACAGAAAATATAAATAATGCCATAAGTCAGGAGGAGAAAAATGAGATGTGGCCACTGGTGAAAGTGTTTTCACCACGTCTGCCACCGAAATAATTTTCCCTGAGCAAAAAAGTGGAAGCAGAAGCTTCTTAAAGCTGGAGGAATAAGAGGAGAATGATTTCTCTCAAGAGCTCTGATTTCAAAGGTCTGTGTCAGAAAATAAATCCCTGGAGCCCCTCAGAAGGTCACTGTTTTGTCTGCATGCAGGAACTCAAAGCACAAGTACACGTTTCACTCTGGGCTGGAAATCTTCAGATTTGCAAGCAGGGAAAGTTCTGAGCGATCCTGTGTCATCCAAGCTGATAAAAGATTATCAAAAGAACCAGGAGAACTTGAGATCCCTCATTTAATTCCACCAGAGATGCTTCACCTATATGCACTATTTTATTAAAAATGTGGTGAAACTGTTTTTTACTGCAGACAGACCACGACTGATTTTGGCATTGAATTCTTGCTTTTAAGCCCTTAAAGCCCTGAAGAGATTCATTAGGAGAGTAACATTCATGCAATCTATTTAATTTTATTTTTTTAAAATTAAATTTAATAGTTACATAGTTGACTGGACAAAGAAAAAAAGACTTTTGACTTGCATACAAAAGAGACAAACCTGCCCTTTGCTTCAAGTCAGTGCTGGGAAAGACAAAAATGAGCCCAGCTTGACTCCAGCTCAGCTCAGCACCTGCTCCACCCACCAAAGGAACCAAGGGCTTGGGCTGTTTGGCACCTTTGAGAATCAGGGGAGAATTTTTAATTTAAAGACTTCTCTCTCCTTCTCATCCTCCCCCACGAAAAGACTCAAAGCATCGGCAGGCAAAGATTATCCTGCTCCCTGAATGGCAAATTGGGAAGTTTTCTGTGCCTCTTTTAAATCCATTTCTGCTGCAGTTAAGCTCCTTTTCTCCCTTAATTGTACTTGTGGCCATTTCATCTCGGGATCTTTAACAAAGCCATTTGGGGATAATAGGGAGCATTTTGTTTTAATCATCCTGTTGACACAGAGCCTGAGATCTGAACGGCCTTAAAAGAGATTTCCAAAGGCACAAGGAAATTGTTTCACTTATTTTTAGTCCAAACTCAAGACTCACCAGGCTGCTCCAAGCCCCANAAAAACCCCAGCAGCAAGAACCAATTCCATGCTGTCCATAAGACAGCAAAGCAGGAGAGGAATATTTAGGAAATATTTAGGAATATTTAGGAGAAAGCACTGCTGCACAGCTAGGAATGCTAAACACACCACCAGAAATCAAAACCCACCCAAGATAAAAACATTTATTTTAGGCTGCCTTTGCCCTCTCTGCTTCTTAAATGAATAATGAAGATGTCACTTGGCTCCAGACACCACGGGGGAATAAAATGTCACCGCTGCAGCTGCCGAATTTCCCGCTCCCAGCCCTCCAAATTAAGGAAAAAACCCACAAAACAAAGGGGGAATTGGATTAGGAAAAGTTCAAATCCTTGCCCAAAGCCCAGCTCTTCCTGTAACGCTGCATTCTTCTCTCCTTGTGTAAACTCCTCATTAGAACAGAGCCATGTTCATAATGGAATAATTGGGGTTATAATGGAACTGTGGGAAGATAATTCCAGCTTTAGGAGGGGCAGCAGGGCCCTGTAATGTTGTTTTAATGTGATTTGGGGACTGCAGGAACTGCCTGAACCTGCTCATTTAGGATTTGATCAATGGGAATTAGGCTGGTAAAGAGATGGAGCATTTGATAATTCCCAATTTGATCAATGTGAATCAGGGCTTTGGTGGAGATAAAACATTCCTCATGGATATTTGGAATATCACTTTAATGCAGGCAGCAATAGGAACTGCAGACACAAGATTTGCCAGGTCTCTGATCCAAACCCATGTGGGATATTTGTATTTTTCCCCTTTTAATAGGGTTTAATTATCCCTAAAGACTGATGAAGCTACACTTGATGTAATTTCGGGGATTAAATGGAGGAAGGAAAATCCAGGAAATATTAAATATATAACAACACCATCCACTTCTTGCTGTGGGAAGTGATGCAGCTTAAAAAGTGGAAGAAATTCAAGTTATAGCACTAAAACTGGGCACCTAATTCTAGACATGCCTAAAATAAAGTCAGACTATTTGCTACCAACACCACAATTAGATCCATTAATCTTGCACTTGGAACCTGCAATCACAGGCAGCACATGGCTTTATGCATTAACAAAATTTAGCAGCTCAACCTTATTTAATTCTTCTTTTACAGCCAATTAAACAACTCTTTAAACACCACTGGAGCCTCTGTCCTCTCAATCCTCACGTGCAATTAAACTGCACATGAGAAGTGCCAAAAGAGCATCTTCAGGTCTCACTAAATCATTCCTCATTTATCCATCAAGTTCCATAAAAGAGGCAGTGATAAAATAACACCTCCTGCATTGAAACCTTCAATAAAGAGACACTGTGTTTAAAAGGATTTTATGTAAGGAAAAAAACCTTGAAATTGTAAAGTAATATTGGTATTTCAGGCCCTTCATCAAATCTGCCACAATTTATGTGCATATTTCAGGCACTTTTTTTCTTTCATTTTGTTTTCTTGGAAGGGAATGGACCAATACTGAATCCACAGATGTAAAAATTCCCAATAATTTTTAGGAAATTTGGTTTGAGGTAGAAAAGCAGCAGTGATTGCAGTGCTGCTATTACAGAGCAGTCAAATGATGATTTCAATTTATACCTTTAGTTTTTAGAAAATTAAAAAAAGTCCAATCCCATCTGTGATTCTCTGTCCAAATCCTTCTCAGTAAATATTCCTTGATTTCTGCACCCTATAAAATAATTTTCTTAATTTTCTTAAATTTCTAATTTTTCTTAAATTTCTTCGATGCTCAGGACTGGTCTCTGCTCCATCCACAGGTCCATTTGTGCACAGAAAGGAACCCAAAAAATTGGATTTATTTAGGAAATCCTCTATGTATCAGGAGGAAAAACCCAATCCCAAACCCACCTCTGCCCACTAAACCCACCCAGAGCCCTTCAGCAAAACCTCAAATCCCACCAAAAGCTTCTTGTGGAATAATGCATGTGAAATGAGAAAATAATTTGATTCAGAAAGCTGAAAATATCCCCCTGTAACAGAGGAAGGAGACACCCAGGTGGGAATTTCATCCCAACCTTCCTGGATTTGCAGACATGATGGAAAACCCTCCAAATTATGTTTAAATCAGCCCTTGATCAATGGTCATCCTGTTTAAGGACATATTAATTTAGTGTTCAATATAATCTGACCATTTAACACTACAAAATTTTTATATATACACCCAAGAATATTCAGCAATTCCTGCTGTTAAAGAGATAAAATGAATTTTTCTTATACTTTGAAATTATATTTGTATCATTACCAGCAGCTCAGAAAGGATTTTTCCCTTCCTGCTCATCAAAAACCAAAACAAAACACAAAACCAGAAGGAAATCCCTCCACAAATCTACGAAAATTGTGGCAGAATAATTCATTTTTCTGCAGCATTTCTTGGTTTAGGGGAGAGAATTGAGGTTGTAAAAAGTTCTGTGTCCTCACTGAAATGATGAATGGGCCCTGGAGCCTGAGGGATGGAGCAGCCCAAAGGGAAGGTCCAAGGCCAGGGGTCACTGTCACTTTGATCCATCAATTACCAGATCTTCACTTCACTTTCTTCAGCACTAATAAAAATTATTCCACCTGACCTTCACCGCTGAGGGCAGAGTGAAATCCCTCATTTAAATCCTTCCCGTGGCGCCATTGTGATGCAAAGTTGGAATCTCATTTTTGGTGCTCCATCAAATCTATTTTTAGACTAATTCATGCTTCTTATCAACTAGAAATTAATAAATGTGTACAATGGGTGCAGCCCATTTCTCTGCAGCTTATGGTTCCTGTACATTGGCCTCCAAATTCTCCCAAATTCCCTCCTTTCAACAGCCAGGGGGACTGATAGGATCTGTGAGGGAGGAAAGGGGAACGATTGTGCATTTTAATGGGGTAAGAACTCAGCCAGCTGCCAGGAAAAAACAGGGGGGACTCACTTGAAGCGAGCTGAGACTTCATCAGCAGCTTTTTGGTATTGCTCAGTGGTGACTTTGTAGAACTGGGCACTCTGGAAAAAAAAAAAAAAAACAAAAAAACAGAATAAATACAGATTTCAGTTAGCATCATTTATAATGTCTAATCAATAAAGCTGATTTTGGATTTAAGTTGTTTCAAAAAGTGTCAAAACTTAAACATAAAAGCACAGAGTTTCAGAAATCACTTTTTTGGGAATTTTTTTTAAATAAGTGTGTCTTGATGATGCAAAAGGAATGGCTCTTGGGGAAGAAACTCTAAAGGGACACGAGGCAAGAATCCCATATTTAGCACAAGGTGCTCCTGGAGTCTTTGCAACTTCTTCATTAGAAATTAAATTCAAAACAGTGATTTTAAACTTCTCTGCAGTGCTCTGTTTGTGTTCCTCACACACATCTCCCCCTGCCTCACAGGTGACATTGAGCCAAGCTTCAAAATCCCACAATAAATTAACAAAGGCTGGAATTTCCTTTCTGCTTTTTGCCTTGAAAACGCCTCTCTGAGGATTTACTGGAATATTCCAAACTCCCAGACTGCTTCCATCAGTTGCTAATTTCAGTTTTTAAAGCCAGAAGAGATTTTTCATCTCCCCTAAACCCAGGGATGGCTTTGACTCAGTTCTACAAAAATCCTTCATTTCCAAGGTACAGGTGAGAGAAGCTCACCAAGCCACAGAAGTTTTCTAGGTGTGAAAATGCTGTGCCAGAGAAAGCTCAGCTTTGATTTGGGAAAATTCCTTCATGGAAAGGTTGGTTAGGCATTGGAAAAGCTGCAGGGGAGGAGTCCCCATCCCTGGAGGGATTTAAAGCCCTGTGGAGGTGGCATTTGGGGACACAGCTCAGTGTGGCCCTGGCAGGGCTGGGAATGGTTGGATTTGATGACCTCAAAGGTCTTTTCCAGCCTGAAGAATTCTGTGATGCTGCAGGCTGAGATAAATCACCGGGATGTTGTTTTGCTCCATGTCTCAATAACACAGAGGTGGCATTTTTCAGGAGGTTTTTATAGCCTGGGCACAGCTGGACCTCAGCTGTGATAACCAAGGCACCTGGCTGCCCAGCTGGAGGGAGAAAGCAAAGTTTGAGCAGCTCCAAATCCTCTGAAATCATTTTCCTGGGAGTGCTGCTGGAAACTGGACATGGAGAAGCAAAAAGGTTCTGCTGGCACTTGCAGGAACTCCAGTGTGGCTTTGAGTCATGGGCATCCCAGGGAATTATGTTAACATAGCAACAAAACCCTGACAATCCCACACTGTGATTGCATCAAAACCAGCTGAACTCTTATTTTAACAACCTGGACTTGATCCTGTGCTTTGGAGTAATTGATGCCTCAATATTGATTTGGCATCTTCCAAATATTTAATTGGTGTCAGGCTGAGGGAGCTGGGATTGTTCAGCCTGGAGAGGAAAATGTTCTGGGAGAGCTCAGAGATCCTAAAAATGCTCCAGGAGAGCTGCAGAGGGACTGGGGACAAGGCCTGCAGGGACAGCACCCAGGGAATGGCTCCCACTGCCAGAGGGCAGCCATGGGTGGCATCTTGGCAATGAGCAATTCCTGCCTGGGCTGGCATTGCCAGAGCAGCTGGGGCTGCCCCTGATCCCTGCAGTGCCCAAGGCCAGGCTGGAGCAGCCTGGG